GGGGGGGGGGGGGGGGGAAGAGCAGAGGTGTTTTGTTTTGTTTTTTTTTTAAGAGAACTACAAAAAAAGTACATACACTGTGGAGGTTTCGATGTCTTTGCTGAGGATGTGGCTTCAGAATAGAAACTCTAAGAATGTAGCTGGGCTACATTTTATTTTGAAAGTGATTTCACACAAAAAACAACCTTGAATTTTTCTTCCTTTTAGAAACTGTGAATAGCTGCCAGAGACACAGGCAGGCCCAGCACCGGGGGCGTGGGCAAGGAGCACCAGGGAAGCAGAGAACGTTGAGCTTGGCTGGAGGTGGGGAAGGGGCAATGGAGCAATAGCCCCATGCTGTTGTAAGGACAGGATACAGGTGAGCTGAGGGTGTGTTTTGCCTCCAGGTGATGTGACTGGGCCATGTACTGGGGCTATTGCTTTATTATTTAGTTTTTTCCAAAGCAAAACAAAAAAAAAAATTAAAAAAAACAAAAAACAAAAAAAAAATTAAAAAAAATAAAAAAAAAATAAAAACTATAATACCGTAGTTGCTACAGCCAGTTTAAAGGAACAACTTTACCAGGGCAGAAGCTTGAGGGTTTGTAGTGTTGCCTTGAACCCCGAGCCCTTTGTAACATGTTTTTAAACTTTGGCACGTGTTGTGGTTGTCGTGCCCTTACCTGCTGTGTAGTGGAAGTGGCAGACTCTTGGAAAAGCCTATCTTTGTAATAAAACAAGGTGCTGAAACCTGCCTAGTGAAGTTCCTGCCCCTGAGCACACAGAGGACATATAACACTGTGGAAGACACCCACTGGGGTGCATGCAGCAAGCTTTGCATGTACGAGATGTACCGTGCAAGCTGATAACCAGCTTGCTTCCATGTGAGGTGGGGTTTAGCCCCTCTGACCTGCAGAGCCCCAACTACCTACAGAGCTCACTCCAGCTCCATCTGCCCGGTGCCACAGCTCCCACCAGAACACAGTAAGAGCCACATGAGGACACAACCAGCACCTGAACTCACACACACACAGAGCCCAGTAACACCACAGCAGTGCCCAGAGCCACCTCTGCCAAGTGCTCTCAGCCCACAAGACTGTGCCTTCTCCTACCCCAGGGAGCCCCGTGCCTGCTCTGCACACCATCACCCCTCAAGGCTCCTGGGTTCAGCACCACTGACACCAGCCCATAGGTCTTAATTACCATGGTATTTCTAAATCCTCTCTTTTCCACCTCCCCCAGTGAAAGCTGCTCTTTCCAGACACCAGAGGGATTTTCCTTTCCCACTAGAGAGTTGATTCTTGAAGCTAAAGCTGAAGCCAAATCCAGCCATTAAACGATATGGCCTCTGTCAAAGCAAGCACCTCATGTTTCACACCAAGAGCCTGGTGAGAGGACGCTGATCCCCCCCAGTTCCCTTACAGGATGTTTCCATGGAGCGAGCAGTGCCTGGAGAGGCTGACCCACACCAGAGGGTCAGGGGAGCTCTTCTTGGTTATTGCTGCAGCATCCCCCACCTGCCCCTGGGGGGATGAGAGTTTCAGCAGCATTAAAGATGGATCAACATGGCCAAGGCTGAAGTTTAAAGAGAAGTTAGTTTGCTCAGCTCTTGCTTAAGCCCCAGAGCAAGGCCAGAAGCCTTGGAGGGCATTGCCAAGGCCAGCTGAAGATTAGCAAAATCCTCTTTAGGAAGAGCATTTTACTTCCACTGATTTTCTCCTGCCCAGGAGGACTGTAACCCTTTCCATTATCAGGCTGACCTTCAGAAAGGCTCTGTTCCACGTGGAGCAAGAGAAATTCAGGCACTTGAAGCTATTAAATGAAAGTGCTTATATGTTGGTCTTCAGGAGCTAGCAAGACAGGCTTAGAGGTGGGAACTGTGCTACAGATCGGTAACAACACAAGCAATGCTGCAGTCTTAAGCGAACTCCCCAAAATCCTTTTTTGAGCCCTAAAACACTTCTACCTTCCTTATTCCATGGTCAGAGCACCAGCAGCTGCCCCCACACTGGGGACCCTTGCCCATGGCCTGCACCCGGACCCGCTGCCCCGGCACTCCTGTAATCCCAGCTCAGCCAGGCATTAGCACAAGGGCAGGCAGGAGGGCAGAGGGCTCGGCACCCACCCCGCACAAGCAGGACTGGTCATGCCTGAGCTTCACAGTTCCCAGGCTGCCACTGTCCTGTGTCCTGTGGGTCCCAGGGCCCCCACATGGGCCATTACCCCACACTGGGGCTGACCACCAGCCTGCACACACACAGCACCCACAGCCCAGCACTCTCTGGCACTGCAGCCCAGAGCTGGGGACATGGGGCCAGGCAGGGCACCTCTCCACGAGAGCCCGCACGGCAGGCATCTGCGGGCAGCACCGTGCCACACAGGATGAGGCCAGGAATGGGGATTTTGGTGCTGGGAGGTAGGAGTGCAGCGGCAGAGACCCATGAGCAGGGCAGCAGTCACGCCACGAGGGGAGTGAAGCAGCTTTATTAGCAGGACATAAACTGAGATTTAAAACCTATCCTGGAAATAAACCCAACACAGACCCCAAGGGCTTGAGCCCAGCTGGGCTCCCATGGAAGCTGGGCTGTCCAGGACACACTATGTGGCCTTCCTTCCCGCTGGGGGGGACACTGCCTTCCTCAGGCTGGCCTCTCCCTCGCCAGCTCCTGGCTTCACCTGGGGCTTCCTCACCTTGCCTTCAGCCCCCTTCGCCTTGGACACTTCTGGCTGGGCCCCCTTGGGCACCTTCTCCGTGCTCTTTCCCACTGGGGTCTTCCGTGGACGCTTTGCCCCAGCACCCGCAGGGTTGTCGCCACTGTCCCCTC